TTTTTTTTTTTTTTTTTTTTTTTTTTTTTTCTTTTCTATTTCTTCTTCTTCAAAGTAATAGTTTATAGAATAGTGAAACTTTTCTATTTTTGAGTAACCTATTCCTATCTAACCAAATCGGTCAAATTGAAATCTAGCAGAAGAAAATCCCTGAGGAAAATCCCTGGGGAAAAAAAGGAAACTGCCAGGTCTAAATGACCGGCAGCCGGTCAAGAATTTCGAAACACTGATTGGCCTGCAGTTCCATTTATTTCTAAAAATGCAGCTCAATCCCTACCATAAATTTTAACACAAACCAAACTTAAAACTCGAACAAACGTTTTTATGCTTTCTACAGTCGTTTAGCGTTTTCTGACGCAGGAAAATACGGAGAGACGCAACGCATTTTTAGACTGGGTAGCCACAGGCAACCCAGTAATTAGTTGTCATTGTTTCAGTTTGAGTTTAAAATCGTTAAGATAATCTTGTTTAATTTTAACAGTTTTTGAGATAAATTGGACCCCGGAAATATATGCTTGCACTCTTGCGCGAAATTGCAGTTCAAGACATTGCAGCCCAAGAGAATTCGCCATTCTAATGGTTGCTAGTTAAAATTTTTAAAATTATATATGAAATAAATTTTGGAGTCTGGTATCCTAGGAATCCGGCGTTCTGAATGGATTAGGGACAACGGTTTGCAAACGAAGTTAGAAGTTCCACCTACAATGCAACTACGCCAAGGCCACCCAGATAAATTTTCATACAAATTAGCCAATCGCGATTGAGTACTTAAACAATCGAATCTGTACAAATTTTCATATTTTTCGTTTTAAAAGAATATATGTTACTTTATACGAGTGTGTGTATGATCAGGAGTGAACAAGAAACAGTTTAGAATCCAGGTTTCATCGTTTCATGTTATTCAGCGTTAAACATGTGGTTTGTGAATTTGATTTAGTTTGTTTGGGTGGCCTATAGACCTAATCGGCTAACGTGTTGCTATGTACGTTACTACCCAATTCAAACCCATTGTCTCTACGAATTCAACTGTGAAACCAAAATATAACGAACAATGAAACTTACTCCCATGGTTTGAATTGGGTGGAAAAGTTTACAGCAACACGTTAGCCGATTCGGTCTAATGTCAACGTGTTAACCGTAAATCTTTATTGCCTATTTTACATGTAAATGTTCAAGTATACAGATATCCAAGAATTTTGGTTTTTATTTATTTATACTTTACAATATATTTACAAGACAGAAAAGTCATACTTTCAAGTATTCAATAAATTTAGTTGAAATAATATAGTTTCTATAGAATATCATTTGTACTAAAAACAATATTGGAATTTCTCGCTGATTTCTCCAAGTTACCATTGGTGGGTCCAGGGGAGGGTTGTTGAAAATAAGAATTTTGATTCCTTCCTAAACTGTTCGTTTTTTCTTTTTCGTTTCTTTTTTTTTTTTTTTTTTTTTTT